CCGCTTCCGATTTAGCGCAGATTTTGGGCGAGTCACGGCTCCAGGGTCTCAATTTTGCTTGTGATTTAGGTTGGAGTGCTGGGGCTTGGGGGGTTTTCTCGTCTCAAATGGGGGTTTTCAGACCAAATTCTCGGTCCCCTTCCAAAGAATCAGCGGCGATTTCTTTATGATTCTGATTCCAGTATTCATATACTACGTTCTTGTCCCAATTGGTAACTAAAAGTGTCCCCCTTTTTTGTATAAACTGAAGAGATCGCAAAGGAGCTGGATGTGGAGGGGCATGGGATCCCGGTGACGGTGGCCAACACCACCTACATGGGCATGAACGCCCTCCACGCCGCCGGTGGACGCGGCAGGCTGCCGGTCTACCGGTACGTCGTCGAGGAGGTCAAGATGGACATCCACAAGCCTGACACCCTCATTGGTAATTTGCTTCCTCATGGACAATTTGTGTGGCTTTAAGTTATGATGACTTGACCATCGACTTCGACCTGGCTGTGTGGATTTTGCTGCTAGATTTTACGCCCGTGGAGCATGCTGTCAAACATGGCCACCTCCCTGCCATCAAGTACCTTCTTGACCATGGTGCTGATCTGCATCTGCAACACGGAGATAACACTCTTCTTCATTCAGCTGCAACTCATGGTACAAACAAAAATGAAATTGCTGCCGTGATAAATATCTCTTCTTCCACGTCTGCATATCGATCAGTCTAATGATGTGTTGAGCATAGTTCCTTTTTTTTGCGGGGAAGGAAGTTTAAGCATGTCACATTATTTCGAAATCCTGCTCAGTTATGAATAAAAAAATATTGTAGACATTACATTTACGAATTTGTCCGCTGATCTTCTTATATGTCGTATTTTATTTTGTTCTAGCCATTCAAACTAGTTACCCCAAAATGTCTGTTTACTTAATATTTAAATATAACTATCTTCTTATATAACTCTCGCTTGATAAGTAAATATTTAATATACCATCTAGTTCAAGCTGTTAAAAGCAGTCCGTTTCCCCCTAAATGAGTATGTATTCAGTATGACTACCAACTTATGGTAACTGATCATAGTAACTCTTTGTTTTCCTTATATTTATATTCAGTGAAATCTGAACCATCAAAGTTGCTTTCCTCCTCTAGCTATTGAAACTTTCTTGGCCAGAAACGGTCATAGAACACTACTCCCTCCGTTCCTAAATATTTGTCTTTCTAGAGATTTCGACAAGTGACTACATACGGATCAAAATGAGTGAATCTAGACTCTAAAATATGTCTATATACATCCGTATGTGGTAGTCCATTTGAAATCTCTAAAAAGACAAATATTTAGGAACAGACGGAGTACAATTTAGCAGCAGATATTATGTTGGAGAGCCTTCCGTTGAATGCGGAGAGGAATGCAGTAGCAATGCAAGTCGATTTATTTTACCAAGAGCTAAGATAACCTACGATAAACGATTTTATTGTTGCTGTAAAATAGAAACAGATTTTTGTTGCCATAAATTAGAACAACGCCAACCTTAGTTGCTTCTCATGTTTATGAGCATCTGCATATTGTTCAGTCTTAAGAAACTTCTAAACATAGTTGTTACATTAATTCGGGTTTCTGTCTCACAAATGTGAAAATAGTCCATGTGCCGTCAGGTTGGTACCAATTTCTTTAGGCACTGTATATACCCTTTTATTCTGTGGATCTTCTTGCGCGATATCTATTTCATATGCTATTTTCTTCTAGCCATTGAAACGGATTTCCCAAAAATGTCTGTTTACTTAGTATGCTAACTGTCTTTTTATGCAAATCTCTTGGGATAGCTATTTGTTACACTATCTTGTTATGGCTGTTAGCAGTAGTTTCCCCTTAAATGACTGTTTACTTAGTATGACTATGTCTTATGGTAACTGATCATGGTAATTCTTTGTTTGCCATAAGTTTATTCAGGGAAATGTGGACCAACAATATTGCTTTTTCCTCCTAGCTATTGAAACTTCCTTGCCCAAAAACGTTTTCTCGTGTACTATTAATACTGTTATGATCTTTGTTTGCCTTCTTTTTCTCCAGGGCAATCTGAAATAGTAAAGTTTCTCCTTTCTAAAGGAGCTGATGTTGATGCAATATCAGATCTTGGAACACCACTCATTCTTGCTGCTCTTAAAGGACATCCTAGTACTCTCAAGATCCTTTTGCAGCATGGTGCAGATGTACTATTCAAATGTTTTGTTGATATGTTGTCTTTTTAGTCCAGTTCTCTCTTTGCCGGGTCTTTGCTACATTCTCCAATTGCACACCTGTATTTGAGGGTCTTTTTGGCCAGTAACTAACCATGCCACGCCAAAAGTTAGACAATTTGTTTGGCAACCGCACTTGTGGCAAGATTCTTTGCTGCAACATGGGTACCACGTGTCACTGACTCACAAAAATTGGGT